TTAGAAAAATTATTTTTGCATTAAATAGCCCGTTTATTGAGGAAGGCTACATATCATCATGCTACTACCCAAGGGAGCGGAGCAGTAATATAATATATAGTCTACCGATTCCATACTAATCGTTAAAACGTACCTAGGGACGAACCCGAGCGAAACGAGGATGTGTTGCTAGTACTTGTATAAAATTATGTTTGAGTATAGCCATATGATATGATACGAGCCATACTACCCACTAAAACCCAACAAAAACCTCCCCTATCTTAATGGGGCGTCGCAGAATCGCTTAAATATATAAAATAATAATAATAAGAGATTTTTGAGGGGAAAACACAGAATACAGGACTTCACTGTTATATATAATATTTATATTTTTATTTGGACTAGTGCTCGCCCAGTGGTCGAAATTCAATCATAATCATTAATAAGAGAAAAAACATAAATATGAATAGAATTTAGCTGTATAAAAAAATATTTCAATGTTTTTATATTGATAACTTTGTCTCACGTACGCGAGGAATCGGGAAGGATTTATAAAAAAATATAACAAAAATAAAACAACCGACTGTGTAAAAAGCGAACTAAAAAGATGAGAACAAATTGACGAAGAAACAAAGAAAGAAGAAAGAAACATAATATGACACTCGCGGTATCAAGATGAATCTAACGACGTATAAATCATCAAAATCAAGAAAGAAGTTAAGCCGTTTAGAAATTACGAAGGAACATAGAGTCGGACAAACATACATGCTGGTTAAACATATAACTCTCCTTTAGTTTCATCGTAGTTGGGTAAAACATCATTTCTTAAATAATAGGCGATATAAATTTCTAGGGACGTTCATCTTTTTTAAAGAAATCCCATCTGATATTAAATGGCCAGTACTAATAGGTATGAGAATGCTTGTCAATAACAATTGAAAATATCTTCCATCTAGAATATTATTTAATAAGCCGTAAGGCAAAGGTTGCATACAATGTAGTCACGAAATGTGAAACAATAAAGATATTACACTTGTAAATTGTTTATTTTACTTTTTACTTTGAGCTATTGGCACAGTCGTAACTTAGCCTATGCTGGTTGTAGCGGGTTTGATGCCATTCACTACAATATTACGTATTGTCACATCTTCCATCTATATAAATAAAAATAAACGTTCGTATGTTTGTCCCCTGTTCCTATACCATTGATCTGATTGTGATGAAACTTTGGTGAGTTATTCTATATATCCGCAAATGTTCCTGGTGCAAAAAAAAACTTTCTTTGAACGTTTAACATTTATGCTCTCATAAACCATTCAAGCTTAGAGACGCACCCGAGCGAAGCGATGCTGAGTCCCTAGTTACTATTATAAATATTTTTTATTCACGCTGAGACGGCAGATTGGACAGATTTGGATGAAATAAGGATGACCTGTAAAACATGGGCAGCTATTAGAAATAAAGCCAAAATGTAGCGTTGATCGCTTGAATCCGATTACAAAGAAATATCGAATTTTCATTATAATATGTTGTCGAAATTTCTTTATTATCAATTGTTATTGCCGAGGGTGTCACTTTTTAATGATAAAAATAATATAATATATAACGACCTTCTGACACATTTTGTTCATAGTGGACGATCTCACTGAAACTAGCCAGATGGCTGTATTAGTACATAAGCGTGTGTAACTATTCTCTTCCTTCAGCTCTCATATTCCGGTAGCACCATTCGAAACGACAAGATAACAGGTGCATTACATCTCATATTTTCCACCCCAGTAGTAGTAAAACAGTGACTATTTTGGCCCAAACGGGGACTCGAACCCAGGTCATCATGATATGCCTTACATGCCAACTACAATCGTGAGGAAATAAAGAATAGCAACACATGATTTCCTAAAACATGTATTAACCCGGAACTGAACTCAGAGTCGCCTCACAATGGATAATGCATTTAAACACGTATTTATTTTGATTTTACTAGTTTTTTGCTATTGCAATATACATTTCACAATACTTTATGATCTCATATAGCGGAATTTCCACGAGGAAAACCTTTGAGCTATGCAAATGTTTCTCCAGTTAGATTTTATTTGATTTTATCATATATTATTAATCGACTAGCTAATTACACTCGCTTCGCTCGGGTGCGTCCCTAGATAGTAGGTACGTTTTGATTTTTTGGAGCGAAACCCTAATTCTTTTTCTAAAATGAAAGTAGCCTAAGTTACTCCGTATAACATCAGTATCTGTCAGTGAAAGTCCCGTCAAAATCAGTCCATCTATTTCAAAGATAAGCCAGAACAAACAGACAGACAGACATCCAGTGAAAAATTTTAACAATTATGTTTTTGTTTTTTTTTCTAAATATCGTATAGGTATATTTTCGTATTAGTTTATTAAAGCTGTTATTTTGACATTAAAAACCGACCCTTCAATTTTATTTATCTGTATAGATATACACACACTGTACACAGAATAAATAACTAAAATACGGTTATATTTTAAACGCATACTCTATTAAATGTATGGTTTAATATGATTATAGCTTAACCCCTTTAACCACCCACTGCTAAATATTCCCTCAAGCGAGAAATTAATTATTTGGTATGTCTATACGGACATATATATTATGTATGTATTCAGCCCTTTTTAACGTCTCACTGCTGGGCACGAGCCTCCCGTCAATATGAGGGGGATCAGGCCATAGTCCACTACGCTGGCCAAGTGCGGGTTGGCGGACTTCACGTATCGTTCGAAAACTTACTAAGTTCTCTCAGACATGCAGGTTTCCTCACGATGTTTTCTTTACCGTGAGACAAGTGCTAATCATGTTAGAAATGATTCCCACATGAAAATATCAAAGGTGCGACTCTAGATAAGACCTAGATTTGAACCCGCTTCACTCGGTTTCCCAAGCGAGCGCGCTACCACTGGGCTACCACTGCCTGGACATATGTATGTATAGTAACTGATTTTTAATAATGAATACGAGTAGTATTACTGGACATAGTATGTATAGGAATACTATTCAGTATCAAAATTGAGTAAGATTTCCTTGTCCTAGAAATATATGATATAAATAAAATGTCACTTATATTAATAAGGCGGTGAAAGATTTTATTAGATTCGTCGCGTCGGTAATCTGTACAACGCGTTAAAAAAGTTAAAATAAAAGTTTCGAGAGTATTTTCATATTAATAATTAATATTGGATATTTGAACAGCCACGAATATAGCAAGATACTTTTGATGAAGACATCACAAACACTTATTTTAATTAACAAGAAATAATTAATTAAAAACGCTGGTACAAAACTAATACTGTTTACCATCACTTTGTTTGCGTTTTTCCCAGCAGATGGCATAATCGTCATCTTTCTCACTCCCTATCTGCTAGTGAAAGTCTCTTCAAAGTCCACCTGTTTCGAAAATTAGCTGGAACAAACAGACATACAGACAGACAAAAACTTTAAAAATTGTCGTTTTCTTGTAAGTACCGTATATATCTAGTGAAAAGCTGTTACTTTGACATTACAATCGACACTTCAATTTTATTTATTTGTATAGATGTACAACTAATGCCACCTATTGACGACAAGTTAAAATAAGTAATAAACAATATAGTGACATCTAGCGTAGCTTTGTAAACTTATATTACACTCAATGAGAGAGGATTGCGCATTATACGACCAAAAAAAGATGTAACGCATTCGTAATAAGTAACTTACAACCCAATGTCATCTTCTTTGTTCGCATAATACAAACTTCATTGACATTTTTAAATTCTATCTACTAGCATATAGCTATTAGCTAATAGCTATAACTGTTCACTCTTCAAATGTGACATATTTGACCTAATTTTACAGTAGTGATTTATTTTTAAATATAAGTGTACAAAATAAAGCAATACAAGACTATAAATCGTTAACAATATGTCAAATTATATATAACCTGTTATACTTTTAAAAATAGTGATTCCATATATTTTTTAAACTAAATTTAATGTTGTGCCGGAGACTCGTAGATAACTAGATAATAAACTTAAAGTTAAAAACCCTCTATAAATTGTTAATTGTTACTATGAAGTTTATTTGAAATTATACCTTTTAAATTATATCCTTGTTACTAAATACATATATTTTTTTCAATATAATATAAATCTTAAGCAAAATGTCTATTGTAAAGTGTTGTTTTGAACCAACCGAGGGACATGATTTTTTGGATTCATTCTTACAAAAGTGCACTGATCCTGGATGTAAGTACATATCGTTTTTTTTTGTAATATTTAGCGTAGTCCAAGAAAAATCATATTATATAATTAAATTAATCCAACCAATTGCGTACCGGTCGTAAATATTCTATCAATGTTGGCACGCTCCATATTATTGATTACTTACCTACCTTTAACTACTGCCGCCAAATTGGGCTACCGGAACCATTTCCGGTTTCGTCCTGAAAAGTTCATGTTTTAAACAGTATTCAAAATAATAATAAAAAATAAGTATAATTTTACTAAGAAATAATAATTATATGAATAATTATTTGAATGTAATAAATATAATAAATTTTAGAATAATTGTAAAGTTAAAAAATAGTAACTTCAAAAGTCAAAACACTTCGATTAAATGTTGACAGTGAGTCATAACTCGGACAATAACGCCCATAGTTTTGTAAATTAATGTTTCTATGACTATTAAAATATAGTGATATATTGTTTTCAATAATGGCGCAAGGTGAGTGTTTAAAGTTTATTATTTACTACCCTTATTAACGAAAATCTTGTAATACTATTTAGTTGACATCTGTTTAGATGACGCCATTTTGATTTTGTCACTCGTTGCCTGTCATTAGAACGCGTTTTTCTTGCTTGGAACGAATAATTCGATAGTAAATCCATAGAAAATGTCGTTATAATAAAGTATTTTTAATAATAAAAGAATAAGTGATGTAATCAAATGTATAACTAGCGTGTTTAAGTAATAACTTTTAAAATTGCGTGTAAATCATTCTGAGATCAAAATGACTACCACAACGGTACAAAATCAGACAAAAACCAGCAACTCTACGCCTGCTAAACCGCAAAAAACATATGGCAAGATTGTTTTGACTCTGCATAATTGCCTACTACCAGAATCTACGTTCAAAGAAACTCCGTCTCAAGCTGATGGCTTAGACATTGAAACCGAAACAGACTTACGTATTCTTGGATGTGAAATGATTCAAACCGCTGGAATATTACTAAAACTACCTCAAGTCGCCATGGCTACTGGACAAATGTACCTTCAAAGATTCTACTACTCAAAATCCTTCGTCAGATATCCTATGGAGACAACGGCAATGGGAAGCATTTACTTAGCATCCAAGGTTGAAGAAAAACCTTGTAGAATACGTGACGTAATCAATGTGTTTCATCACATCAAACAAGTGAGAGCACAGAAGACAATATCTCCATTAATAGTTGATCAAAATTATATTGAACTGAAAAATCAAGTAATCAAGGCTGAACGACGAATTTTGAAAGAGCTAGGATTCTGTGTGCATGTGAAACATCCTCATAAATTAATTGTAGTGTATTTACAAACTTTACAATATGAAAAAAATAAACAGCTAATGCAAATGGCTTGGAATTACATGAATGATGCTCTCCGCACTGATGTGTTTATGAGATTTCCCCCAGAAACAATTGCCTGTGCCTGCATATATTTAACTGCTCGCAAAATTGGTCTACCTTTGCCTAACAATCCACATTGGTTCCTTCTATTTAAAGCAACTGAAGAGGATATAAGAGATGTCTGCATAAAAATCTTGCAATTGTATAAAAGAGCCAAAGTTAATCCTGAGGAATTAGATGGAAAAGTTGAAGGATTGAAAAAAATCTATCAAGCGAATAAGCATATACAAGCACAAAAAGAAAGAGAAGCAAAAATGGAAGAGAAAAAGGCAGAATCACCAACTGCCTCTACATCAAAAGATTCCAAGCGAGACTCAAAGAAAGATAAATCTCCTAAGACTCCACCGCTTTCATCTAAATATCACAGTAGCCACAAAAAAAGAGAAAGAAGATCTCGTTCACCATATGACAGAAAGAGAGAGTATTCTAGTAAAAGACATAAGTCTAGGTCCAGGGACAGAGAAGACAGATCTCGGGAGAGACGCTCAGATGACAAGCGAGGCAGAGGATCATCAAGGAAATATGATGATTATGACCGCTCAAAACCTAGAGATAGAGATGACAAAAGGAAACACTAGAATAAGGCTTTATAATAATACAATATAGTATATTCTCTTTTATTTTGATTTTTATTTTAATACCATTTATCAAATTTATAAAGCTAGTTGACCCATGAGAGAGAATTTCTCGCGCAATATTCTAATCAGTGTCAATAGATGGTGTCTATATTCAAACATGGATTTTATAATTTATTTCAAAACAATGTTTTAATTCTAAAAAAATTATAATGATTGAGTAATTTATCTCAAAATGTACAAATAAAAAAAACCTTCATGAAATAATATACATCTAAAAGTACTTCTTAAAATCTAATACAATGAAGTTAAATAATTTAATTTACATTCATGCATTATTAAGTAGAACATACTAATAATTTTATGTAAATAATAAACATACAGTCTTCAAGAGCAGATAAGGAAAAAGTCATTATATAACTTCTTTTTGTTACTAATGTTAAACCTAAAATTAATTAAACACTTTTATAATATAATTCAAAGGGTAATTTCTATCAATTATCTATATAGATACTATTCTAGTAAATTTTACAATAATTTACTTAACACATATTTAACATAATAGGTAATCTTGTTTTGTTTCTGTATTTTCAACTAGCGACTCACCCTCGCTTTGCTCGGGTTCACCTTTAGAAAAGCAAAAACTAATCTATCCCACGGGAACCGTGTATTTTTTCGGGATAATATTGTGTGATTTATTGCATAATATGTGCTATTCTGATGTATGAGCTATATTATTGTAAAGTTTCATTACAATCCATTCAGTTGTTCTTGCGTGAAAGAGTAACAAACATCCAGACATTCATACATCATCATCATCATCACAAACTTTCACATTTATAATATTAGTAGAATATAATCTCTGAAAGTGCCTAAAATAATTCTTAAAATACCTTTACTAATACCATTAGGCAATTTTATTGATATACCTGTTAAGTGGAGCCATGGTTGAAATCTAGCTTAAAATAATCAAACATTTTCTATTCATCCTATAAAAGAATAAAATAATTGGATAAAACAAAACTAAAAAATAAAAGCAGAAAAGAAAAGGACATTTTATGTTTCCATTAATAATTCTCTTTGGAATAAGTCTGCTTGATGTTGATAGTGTAGGTTTTTTGCCGTCTTTCCTACATACAAAATAACTTTACTTTGTAAAAAATATAAATAGGCAAAGACAAAACAATTCAGAACCTTTTCCTCCTCTGTTTGTTGACCGATTTTCTTTTTTTTTCTTTAGTAGCTATTGACGAGTTTTAGTGTTATCAATAAAAAAATAGAAAGTATTAGTTTTTTTTATCGATAAGTAAATTCTATTCATTTATTATGTTTTCCTCAAATTTTCAATGATGATTTTGGACGAATTTCAACCACTGGGCGAACACATATACACGGTAATGTATGTATCATTACCGTGACATATACATATTAAAACCCGTTTTTTTAGCTTTATCGAAAACTGCTACGCTAGAGGTATAAAACATATATTAAATACAATGACTACTTATCGGGCTAAGTAGTCGTTGATTAAACATATGTACTGACTCGGTGGTGTAGTGGCTAGCATGTACGGCTGCACACTCGGAGGTCCTGGGTTCGAGTCCCGGGTCGGGCCAAGTTTAGTTATTGAGTCTTTCTGTATAGTAAGTCTCAGTAACAGCCCGGAGTTGGGAAGTTGGCGGTGTCTCACCCCCGAGCCTTGGAGAGCACGTAAAGCCGTCGGTTTCACTGGTCGTGTCGAGCAGTCGTCCCACTGGAGTATGAGAGTGACAGGAATAGAGAGTGCACTTGTGCCTGCGCGTACACTTGTGCACTATAATATCTCCTGCGCAGTTGGCAAATCTCAATGAGATTGGCCGCCTTAGCCGGAATCGGCCAGGAGAACATCTTCATCATCATTATCATCATAAATAAATAAAATAAATGCTAATATATACAAATTGTAATAGTAACATAACACACACAAGCATATAACCAAACCCACTCACACAAACGCACGCACACACGCACACATACACACACACACACACACGCGCACACACACACACACACACACGCGCACACACACTCATATACACACATACACACTTTTTTTTCTCTCCGTATCTTGTAAGTTAGAAGTAATTTATTTAATTTTTATTTTTTTTTCTTCTTCCTTTTTTGTTTACATTAACTTACCTTATTATAACGTAATGTCATGCAATGAATATGTACGCCTGATATGGGAAGGTACTAGCACCTGAAACACAGTTTTCTAGTTCAGGAGTTAGGGCTGTGTGTATTTGTTACCATTGTGTTGTTTAAATAAAGACTGTTTTTTTATCATATTATTAAATATAAAAGATAAAATACACTGTAACAATGTTTCGTACTAGAATAATAGAGGAAGATATTTAAGTATCGTTTAAATGTATTTTATTAATATTAATTAATGTTTTTTATTAACTTAACAAGATTGGCAATGTACATTGTACCTTTTTGTTATGGTTTTAAGGCTTCATATCCAAAGCGAGGGATTCTACTTTGATTGTTCATTAACTTATTATTAAGTTTCATTTTTGCATTTTGTGACAAAAAGTAGCCTATGTCCTTCTCCAAGGTCCTATCCATCTCTATACTAAACTTCATCAAAATTGCTTCAGCGTTTTAAGCGTGAAGACCTAACAGACAGAGTTATTTCCGCATTTATAATATAAGTAAAGTATGGATGGCTACGTACGAATTTCTTTGAAACATTATAAGGGTCTCCCACTCTTTAATCGCCCTGGGTTCTCATTAAACTTCCTCATTTTTTAATTTCGGCTCTGGGCAATGTAAATATGGGCAGCAATATGGCTCCACACATACTCGTATGACAATTGTTTTAAGTTCGTAAGCATAAATGTAAGATATGCATTCTAAGCGTTATTAAATTCTTATTGAACTCTAGATAAGTTCTTGAAAATTATTCTTTGTGTTACACCTATTTTTAGGACACTTTTTTCAGCGATGCTGTTAATTAAACTGAAATATTTAACTTGATTGCTTTATCTTCTTATTTTTTAACCGACTTCAAAATAGGAGGTATCTTTTGTATATGAAAAATACTAAAAAGTAGTATTATTTTTTTGAAGTCTGTTAGTTAGTTTTTTTATTATTAAATAGCTTAAACTCAACTTACCCTCGCTTCGCTCGGGTACGTCCCTAGGTACGTTTTAATTTTTTTTCTAATTCTTTTTCTAAAATAAAAGTAGCCTATGTTACTCCCTATAACATCAGCTATCTTCCAGTGAAAGTTCCGTCAAAATCAGTCCAGCCGTTTCAGAGATTATCCGGAACAAACAGACAGACAAATATAAAAAAAATGTTCTTATAAGTACCGTATATAATTTCATATGCATTTAGTAAAATGCTTTTATTTTTACATTACAAACAGGTTCTTCAATTTTATTTATCTGTATAGATTTCATGGAAATCCGTCCCGCCTTTACAGCGTGAAGAAGTAATACACCATACACACAACTTTCACATTCAAATTATTAATAGTGTCTATATACAACATTAAGTAGGTAGGTCTTCAGCTCTTTTTAACGTCCCACTGCTGGGCACGGGCATCCCTTCTATACGAGGGGGATCAGGCCGTAGTCAAGCAAGTTGGTCAAGTGCGAATTTCACATGTTTTTCGAAACTTGTTACGTTCTCTCGAACATGCAGGTTTCCTCACGATGTTTCCTTTCACAGTAAGGTAAGTAGTAATCATGTTGAAATTGATTCGCACATGAAAATATCAGAGGTGCGAGACCTGGGATTTGAACCCGCTTCACTCGGTTTCCCAAGCGAGCGAGTTACCACTGGTGTACCACTGTCTTTATATACAACACTAACGCTTGTATTAATAATCGGCCAGTAACAAATATCTTATCTATGTATGTATATGGAAAATAACATTTAACAATATATTCACATTTAAAATTAAAAGATTGCAAGGCCCATTTGATTAAACATAGATACGATACGAGATATTAGACACGAAAAATAGTTAGTATTTGTATTTTTCGCGTGTGTAGATGATGGCTTCACCAAATTTGAAAACCAAAGGTTTTATTTTTAAGGTTTTATTAAACTCTTAGAACTATTTTTTTTAGTTTTTGCTATTTTTGACAGATAATATAGAATGTATACCTTTTTTTTTTTTTAACGTTGGGACATGCATTTACGCACGACGTGTGAGACTCACCGGCGTAATACAGCCAGTACTACCCACTAAAACCCAACAAAACCTTCCCCCGTCTTAATGGGGCGTCGCAGGATCGCTTACGCATTCAACTACGACGCCCCGACGGCAGGTCTGCCAAAGCAGACCACCACAACCTTGGGGTTGCTCCAAGGTCCACTCTGCTATCAGAGAAGTACCAGGAGCAACCCGCAAGGTACACCGCCCCCCGAAGAGGGCCACCTCCCACCGCCCACCGAAGTGGGCAACCTCCCTGTGCGTTTCTTAGCTTCGCTAATACTACTGAGCCCCCCCACCACGACAAGGTGTCAAACATTTACGCACGACGTGTGAGACTCACCGGCGTAATACAACCAGTACTACCCACTAAAACCCAACAAAACCTTCCCCCGTCTTAATGGGGCGTCGCAGGATCGCTTACGCATTCAACTACGACGCCCCGACGGCAGGTCTGCCAAAGCAGACGTTGGGGGGGAGAATGTATACCTACCCGAACTGCCTAACTCCTCCTTTTTTGAAGTCGGTCAAATGATTGTCTTTTCTGCTTCACCTGTCATTTTTTTTATAGTTTGTCGTGCATTTTTTGGCTTTAACTAATTCATTTATCTATCTTTTTAAACCTAACTAATTATATCATTGTAAAAAAAGTTGATACTCATTACATAATTTATATTAATATAATGTTAAAAAAAGGGTTGTCCAAATCGGTTAATAAATGACGGAGTTTTGAGGAAATGAACATAAAAAAAATTACGACCTAATTAAGAACCTCCTCCGTTTTTTGAGG